GTCGTACGACATACTACTCTCTCTCTCTCTCTCTCTCTCATACTATTAACTAAAGTAAGTAAAAGTAAGAGACGACGTACTCAGAAGAATAATAGTACGAAACGACTCTCTCTCTCTCTCTCTCTCTCTCTCTCTCTCTCTCTCTCCTCTAAGAATGTTTCTTATCTCCATAAATCAATCAATGAAAACTGCGAAATTCAAATCACCGAGAAATAAAAACACCAACTTACAAATCCAAAACCCAATCCACCAAACTCATTGATTCTTCCATGCATAGATCAAGAGAGAGAAACCACCACGCTCATGAGACTCTCTAAGCTTATTCTCTGAAACCCAAGTCTGAATTCCAAGATCCATTTTGGTCTTAAACATGAAAACTGCATAACCAGAGGGACCAGGGCTAAAGAACCAGTCATGGACATCCCATAACATGTCAATAGGTGATCCATCCACTAAAATTGTTTGGTTTCCTCTAAATTTCCATAGCAATCTTTTCACATGAACCACCATCTTCTTGTCGATCCGAACGCAAAGCCTCGGTTCTCGATTGCTACCCTTCTCTCCGAAACACTCGATAACGATATCATGAGCCTTCCCGGACTCGTTGAACCGAGCCCTTGTTGAATAGAGGTTCTTCCCGAACACATGTTCCTTTCGCCAAATGAGCCGCGGCCTAAACCCCGGTTCGAAGGATCCAGACTCATCGGACCCGGATCTGGGCTCATCGAGCTGTGCCTTGGACCTGTCGATGGCCTCTCGGTTCATGTCACCAAGAAGAAGCACAAGCCTATGGTCTGAGACCATTGCTACATAGTAATTCTCGATGGGCTCGGGGCTCGGGCCATACTTAGCCGAAGAGAGATCCCAATGAACCTCAACATGAGCCTCACCAGCTCGGAAATTCTTCATCCCCCGTTTCTTCCACATGGGCCAAGTGGGCTTGGTGTCGAGCCCCCGTGGGTTCGATGAGTCGGTTATATTCACGCTTAGGCCGTGGCCCATGAGGTTCTTGCACCATGTTATGGTCACAAGTCGGGGCTCGCCGGAGAGCTCCGCTTCGTAAAGGCAGGTCACCATATTTTGAGAGGAAGGGGAGGAGGAGGAGGAGGGTGAGGAAAGTTGGACTGCACTTTCGCTCAGACATGGCACCAAGTCCCTCATTCTTTTGGGATTGGAGAGGAAGAGAGAGAGTTGGGGCACTCTCAATTTAGAGAGAGAGAGAGCTTTAGATTGAGATGAAGAGGGAGACAGATGGGGTACTCTCAATTTAGAGAGAGAGAGCTTTAGTTTGAGAGGAAGAGAGAGATGGGGCACTCTCAATTTAGAGAGAGAGAGATTTTTAGTCTGAGAGGAAGAGAGAGATGGGGTACTCTCGATTTTGAGAGAGAGAGATTTAGTTTGAGAAGAAGAGAGAGATGGGGCACTCTCAATTTTGAGAGAGAGAGAGAGAGCTTTAGATTGATAGGAAGAGAGGGAGAGAGAGATAGTGGACTCTCAATTTAGAGAGAGAGCACTCTAGATTGCTGGAATAGAAAAAAGAGAGATGGGGCAATCTAGAGAGAGAGAGAGAGAGAGAGAGAGAAGCAATGGGTGGTTCTTAGTGCTTCTTACTCTAAATTTGGCGCCATCGAGGGTGCTGTGCTCCCACTTCCACAGATGTTCCCAAGGAGTTGCAGGTTAAGTTTGGAAGGACATGGACATGGACATGGACAACTCTAAGACATCTCCAAAGACCAGCTCAAGAAGAAGGAATTCCAAATACTGACATCATGCGGTCTCTTTTAGGAAATGTAGGGCACACCGTTCTTTATCTAGTTTTGTTTACAAGAGGTGGAGAGAGAAAGTTGAATCTAATTTATTTATTTATTTTTTTAATTCCACTTGATCTCTTGGGAGCATACTGTAGGGTGTAGCGCTTTGAGCTTAAGTTGATGTTTTCGATATGAGATTTTGGTATACGTTAAAAATTCACCATATAATTAGTTTTTAAAAGAAGAAAAATTGGATTTTTGGGTTTTTTACTGCTTAGATCTTCCCATCCAAAATTATGTGTTTTTTTTTATATTTAGGCACCTATTAGTTGGATTTTTTTAAAAAATTTGTAACTAGGTTGAAGATTTTTTTTTTTAAGTTAGTTGGTAGGTTGAAGAGGTTACATCTCAAGACTTAGGGTCCCCAAAATGTTCCTAGCTAGGGTTTTACCCGGAAGGGCATATGGACAGCATGTTCTAGAAGGAAGACTAATCTTTTAGTCTTTTTTTTATTTGGACACGGTTTTGGTGAGTCAGCCGACTCACCATGTACCATGGGGTCGCTTGTACATCTAACGTCCATCTCTAAGATGGATGTCAAAAAATGTTATACCCACTTAAGTTAAAATGGTCGGAGAAGAAATGAATTAAAAAAATAACCTTCATATTTTTTTGAAAAAGAAAAATTCCAAATTTAGAGTATTGTCATGGATGAGATTATTGAACTCTGAAATTTTACATCGAAAATATGTCTTTAAGATATATTTGTAGGGAGATCGCACAAAAATAGTGTGAGTCAAGTCGGCCTACTCACCAAACACATTTCCTTTTCATTTTCATTTTCCTTATAATCAGGGTCTTTGTTTATTATTTATTCTCTTATATAAAATATGAGCCATACATCCCTATCCCCACCAAATATATCCGGCCAGACATTTTTATAATGACAAAAATGCCTTATATAGTTGTGAGCTTTCTTTGGGCTAGCTAGTGAAGGACAACCCTAGGTTTGAGATCTTCACATTGCTTTGGATTCACTTCCTTAGGATTTGGTCTATAATTTTAGAATACGAGTATTTTGCCCTTAGATGGTGGATGGTCATGGAAAAAGTGAGAAATTTCGGATTCGGGCTCGACTTGCTAGAGCCCAGAGCCTGAGTTTCTCAATTCGAATCAGAAGAGCCAGAATCATACTAAGATAATTTCAATAAACACATGATAAAAAATGATAGATTTGAGCGATTCCAAGGTTTCTGCCCCGAAATCCATTGGTTCTGACTCCAAGACCGAGCTGGCCCGACGTTTTTTTTAAAACATTAGCTTATATACGTAAAACATCATTTGATAGCACCTAAGCCCAAAAGGGAACCCATATCTGATCCACTTGTACTCAGATCCAACCCAAATTAGTATTCGAATCTAAATTTTAGATTCATATCTGAATTTTGAATCTAAATCTTGGATCTGAATATGATAAAAAATTCGAGTTTTAGATACGGATGGATGGGGTAAATTCCCAGCTCTAATAATCATATGTGCAAGACATAGAGTGAAAAACTTGCTCTTGGTAAGGGGCATTATAGTCATCTGGGAAAAACAAAGGGCAACTTGGTAAATTTTGAAAGGAGATAAGGCTCTTCAGTCATTAACAAAGGGGATTTTGTTGTCATTTATAAGCCTCATGTTGTAAGGGTAGGGATGGAGGCTTTGGGAGTTGGCCCACAAATTAAAACGAGTCTAGAGACCCACCAACTCCAACCCAACAAAGCTCATAATTAAACACCCCAAGGAATCATGTGGGCTGAATATGATCCTCCAACTTCTCTCCCCCTGCCTCCCAAAAATTAATGTCAATTTCTCTCTCTAATGTCAAGTTTCTCTCTCTAAATCCTCTATAGGATTAATTGACTACCTTAAAAGTGGACAATCATGTTATCAAAATTAATCTCTCTCTAATCTCTTTTATCTCAGTGTTTAAAAAATCGCAGATATGGTTTGAGGTCACAACTCGGGACAGGGGAGGGGACTAGGTTTGTTTTGACCTCTATACTGTTTAAATTATGTTGAAAATAATTGATATGATGCTTGTCTACACCAGGTGACTCAAGTTTGGGGCCTTGACGAGTCGGGTCTCAAATTTGTAGTTTCAAAATAAGGACGTATTTTACATACCATAATGGGATCATTCTTCGGTGAAACCCATTGGCCAAAATACATATCTAGATGGATATTTTGTTCTGAAATTTGTACGGTATTTTAAAATTTTAAAGTAACAAGTAAAAAAATCAATTATGAGTTTGAAAAGCTTAAAATCCATTGTCCACCAAATATAAGACCATGATTCACTCTTTTTCAAATTTTTTTTTTTTTTTTTTTAAAAGTCATTTTTTATGACCTAGATGAAACATGCAAGTGTGTAAAACCTTGCCTTAACTATCCAAAGTTGAGGTTAAAGAGGTAATTGGCGTTGGATAGACAGCCAATGTAAAAATTTTACCAAAATTTATACGTTATTTTGCTTATGAGATGAGTTCGACATGCACATAAAACTCGGGTCTGATCTCCCTCTAGCTCTAAGGAATTTGTGCTGCAGTCTAATTTTGGAGTAGAAGCCTATGGGATTATATAATCGTTCTCTTCTAGTCAATGCATCAAAACCCTAAATTTAAGCCCTGATTCTCTCTAGAACTCCTATCAGCTTTTACTGTACATCTCACAATTAGATCTCTCTCTCTCTCTCTCTCTCTCTGCACACAATTCTTGTATGGGACGTTGTCAATTTCTCACACAAATCTCTCTTTGGCATCCTCATAAATCCAAATTGAAAAGCCCATTCTTCACTCTAATTTTTGGGAAATTCTTAAGCTAATATCCCCCAATTTTTTGGGAATTGAAAATGTGTTCTTCATATATTGTAATTTTTTGTTTTTGTTTTTGTTTTGATTTTTTTTTGTCACTTTTTCCCACGACACCATCGGTTTGGACTTTCAATAACTATATCAAAATTAATGAGTAATATAATCCAGAATGCAGTTCGAATTTTCACAATCTGAACCGCCTTAGTTTTGGTTCGGATATTGAAAGTCCAAAAACAAAGGCATTTCGCCGAAGAAAAAAAGAAAAAAAAAAGAAAAAGAAAGAGACATAAGCATACATTACAACAAATAGAAGATAGATTTTTAATTCCCCCAAAAAAAAGAAAAAAAAGGGGTATTAGGGTCGTTTTACCTATCCATTTCTTGTATCCCACAATCATCAATGTCCATTTCTCTATCCTAGGTTTCTCTTACATCCCTCACTCTTTAACTATCTTTTGCATTTTTTTCCTATCCCACAATTCAATGTCAATTTCTCTCTCTAAACTTTTCTCTTTCTTGTGTTTTTACTACCACTTTAATGTTACTAGGCTGCTTCAAAAGATCCCCTGTGATTGTACCCTAAATAAAAGGCCCCAAGTTGTTGTCCACAAAATAAGAATAAATTAAGGATCTCCATTAAAGAGTTCCATTAAAGGCTCCACCCTTTTATTCTCTGTTCCATTGCGACATTCCGAATCATTTTCCATAAACCTATGAAAAGGAATCAGTTCTTTAGAACATTTAAGTTCAGTCTAAGTCGAAAATCTTATGAGATGGAGGAAAACCCTAGAATCACCCAAGTCTAATGTTATTTGGATTTTTTAGATTGGGATTGCCTACTATGAGAATATTTATTTTTGGTACAATGAGGTCATCGTTACTTTTAACCATCGAATGTAAAATTCAATGGATGAAAGAGTATCACCATATTCGAGAATTTTTTTTGTTTTTGTTTTTCTAACTAAACACTGCCACATCCTCAGCCACCCAAATTTTAAGTCTACCTGTCGATGATGATTGTGATCTCTTTATATCAAAAGTAAATGAGAATCAAAAGTAAATGGTCTCATTATATATATTTTTTGAGATTTTTTATTTGAAATTTACCTGTCTGACTTGGGGTTGCCCGAGGCCTGCCGAGGAGACTCAAACTTGGGATCCTAACCATTTAGAGACGAAGTACAATTTTTTAAACACTGGAGAAACAAACTAGTACAAAGATAATGTAAGACTCTGACCTTAAGCCACCATTTCTCTTTGAGAATGTGTTTATATATCTAATTTTGTTTGATTTCATCATCTCTTATCTTAAGTACCTTCATTATCATTAGAATTAGAATCAAGGTCCTCAAAAACATTATGTATGTAACAAGAGTTTGCCTTGCATTAAAGTGTTTCCATTATTAATGCCATCATCATGATATTCTATCATGTTCATTTGGAATATCAATAGGGGACCTATAAGGTGTGAAAATTTGAGATCCACTTTAGAACCTCTATAGGTAAAGAGTGCATATAAAGTTGCAATCTTTAAAAAGAAGTAAGGTTGCAAAAATCCAACCCTATATCTACATGAGTATTATAGAAATTTAAAAAAGATTTTGAGTTTTTAAATACTCGTATCTAATCATTCAGATAGGAAATTGTTTTATTCATGATAATGATTGTCTTTTACATAACCAATATGTTGAGGAGATTACATCCCAAAATTTAAGATCAGATTTGCCGAAGAACAAACATATGACATGCTCCCTTGGGAGAATAGAATCCTTTTGCTTTGCTTTTGCTTCCGCTT